TTTTAACCCTGAAATATTTGACCCACCACTCTGACAGGTTATTTATCCATTTCAATTCAGTTTAAAGTCGTTCAAATAATTATCCACACGAATTGATCGCGTGTTCAAGTATGGATACCACGGCATAACGGTAACGTTTGAACAAACATGTTTGACCAGCCAGACATATTAACGCCTTTGTTTGATTTCAAATGTTTGATAAACTTTTTTTCATCTGTTTGCTTGACCTTTAAAACGGTCAAATTAGGTACCTACATGACAATTATGGAAATTCGAGTCGGCAGCATAAACCAATTTTGATTATTCGAAAACACCCTAAACTATTTCGTTTAGAGTATTGTATTAATTAAATGTCTGTGGGTAAATACTGCCATGTCATCAAACATTCATTTCAAATAAGAAATGGTAATTTCAACGCCACGCAGGTTTCGTGATTTTTTCCCTGTCATCCATTTACGTCACAATAAAAACTGGAGCAGAAAAAAAGCCAATAAATGTACAAACCAACAAAGTTTTGAATATTTAATGTATTTTTTTCTTTTTTTTTGATGGGAACGAACCAACTTTGACCCTTAACAATAATTTTTTTTTAAACATTTTGTTAAATATTTATAGTGAACCAACTTTTTTTTTTGGTTTTTGCTCCATCATTAAATGTGTGAGTATTTATGCGTACATGTGTAAATATGTGTCTGTTTTTTTTTTATTACACAATTGAAAAGTTCTATTTTTATATGCTACCAAATAAATAAAAAAAAAACCATTTAATTGTTGTTTGTTGTTCTGTTTATTTTCAGATTTTATAATTGGCCATTCTATTTTTATTCCATTTTAAATCAAACAGATTACCCCGAATAGTTTGGCTGGAAGCGAAAATTTGAAATAATTATATTTAATTGCAAAGTGAGTACTATTTGGTGATCTGAATTAAATGATTACAAACGTTTTCAAGGTCTTCTATATCATAAATACTTTTTTAAATGGACGTTCATGGTTTATTTTTTTAAGTTCTGCTAAATTTCTGGCATTTTGGAATTATGGATTCTTAGTTAAAAACTTTTCGAGATTTTTTTTCCAATCTGCCATTATTTGATTTGTTATTTTGAGGATTTCGATTTTATTTTTTTATTGTAGTTTTGTCAATATTGTCGACTTTAAAAAAATGACTTTAAAAAATTAAAAGTCGATAAAAATCTATTAATTCAAAATCAATTACTAAAAATCGACTTTTTGATTTTAATTACTGGCAAAAGTGACTTCGATTTTTAGATTTTTCAATACCAAGAATCGCTTAACCGAAAGTCGGCTTATGTATCCCATTTTGAACATTTTCCATCTACTGAAGGCAAGAGGAAAGCCTTCAATGTTTTTCAGATTCTTCTATCCAAAAATTATCTTCCAAAGCAGACATGAGTATACTGCATAAGTAATTTGTGTTATAGGCTGTAGTAACTATTCCGAACTTTATATACGGAATTTGAAACAATTCTGGTGAATAACGTCTCAAAAATCATCAAAATACTGATTATCGGGACGAACTGTTATATAGTGGATATATGATATCGTTGACCTATATAGACAATTCTCTTCCAGGGGGTAATGTACTCACAAGGAACTTCTTTTGTGGATTTTGAGATAATTCCATTAAAAAAATTGACTGAAATCACCAAAATACCTAGTTTCGGGGGGTATCTTATATGGGGGCTATACGATATCGTGGACCTATATAAACCATTCTTCCTAGGGGATAAAGTACTCACAAGGAACTCCTTGTGTGGATTTTCAGACAATTCCATTGAAACATCCAAATACCGAATATCGGGGGGTACAGTTTTATGGGGGCTATACGATATCGTGGACCCATATAGATAATTCTCTTCCAGGGGATAAAGTACTCACAAGAACTCCTTGTGTGAATTTTCAGACAATTACGTTGAAAAATGTGGCTAAAATCTTAAAAATACCGAATATAGAGGGTACCGTTATATGGATATGCGATATCGAGGACCTATATAGAGAATTATAATTCAGGGGGTAAAGTACTCACAAAAAAACTCCTTGTGAAAATCATGAAAATTCCCGATCGGGGGGCACTTGTGTATGGAGGCCGATATAGCCCATCTTCGAACTCGACCTGCTTGCAGACAAAAAGCAGATCTGTGCAAAAATTTTTAGTTTCCTATCTTAATTCTTTTTGACTGTAGCGTAATTACAACAGACCGACAGACGGACGGGTGGATAGGGCTAAATCGTCTTAGAATTTTACGCTGATCAAGAATATGTATACTATCTATGGTGGAGGGTATAATAGATGTACCAAAAGGCTTTTGGAAATTTTGGAACTCTAAAGTTACAAAAAGTTCATCACTGTTAGTGTTTAGGTTTAGATTGTTTAAGATTTTATAGATGGTTTTGGAAATACGTACTAAAAAGTTCTAAATGGTACTTAATTTGGTATTTGGGCAAGGGATTGAATTGAAAGTCCAAAATTAGGCATCAGAATTACCTTTTGTGCGGGTTCGTTGATATATGGCGGGGGATTTGGAAATACGTACCAAATAGTACGAAAGGTACTAAATAGTATTAATTTTAGTATTTAAGGAAGGAATAGATTTGGAATCTGAAGTTAGAAGTGAGACTCTTTGATGTTGTATAGAATAGACAAGCTAAAGGGTTTTTCAAAATTCGAACAATACGTGTACCAAAAGTAGTAGGGTTTGGCTGAACAAATAGCGCTTGATATCTGAATTTTAGAGTTAGGGTCGCTGTTCATGTGTATCCTAGACACATGCAGGTGGTTTCGGAAATGTGTGCTATAATTGTACGAAAAGTACAAAAAGGTACTAAATTTGGCATTGGGTGAAGGGGCAGAAATAAAATTCTAAAATGTCATCTTAGATTAATGATTGTATCCGTGTGTTGAGATTTGACGATGGTTTTGGAAATGCGTCTAATTTTTGTACGAAAAGTACTAAATGGTTCTAAATTTTATATTGACTGAAGGGATATAGAGGTGGAGTACCGAAATTTTATATTGAGGTATGTGTGTGGGATATGGAAGTAGTTTTGAAAATGGGTACCATAATTGTACGAAAAGTGCTAAATAGTACAAAATTAGGTAGTGGGAGTTTTAATAGAGATAGAATTCTGAAATTTGGTTTTCAAGGTTTCTGTGGTTAAGATATGCAAGTAGTTTTGGAACTGTGTTCTAGAATTGTGCAAAAAGTACAAAGTGGTACAAAATTTGTTATTGGGTAAAGAGATAGAGACTAAATTCTGAAATTAGATATTTAGATTTAGATTTGTAATGGTATCTGTGATTGGGATTATGTGGTTGTTTGGAAATGCATCCCATATTTCGACGAAAAGTACTAAATGGTACTAAATATGGCTGAATTAGAGTTGAAATTTCATATTGAGGTCTCTGTGGGTATCTCGAATTGAGATATGGAGTATTTTTTGGAATCGTGAACTATAATTTTCCGAAAAGTATCAAGTGGTACTAAATTGGATATTGAGCTGAAATCCTTTAATATTGAGGTTTCTATTGCTATCCGGTATTAAGGCATGGAGGTGGTTTTGGAAATGTGTGCTATATTTGTACGAAAAGTACTTAATAGTACTAAATTTGGTATTGTGTGAAGGGATAGAGCTGGAATCCTGATATTTGATGTTAAGGTATTCTGAAATTGAGATATGGAGGTGGTTGTGGAAAGTACAAAATAGTACTAAATTTGGTATTGGGTGTTGGAATAGAGTTGAAATTCTGGAATTTGATATCAAGACCATTGTGGTATCTATGATTAGGACATGAAGGTTGTACTAATTTGGGTATTGAGTGAGAAATAGAGCTGTAATCCTAAAATTTTGATATTGAGACCCTATTGGTATCTGGGATTGAGGCATGGAGGTAGTTTTGGAGATGTGTACTATATTTGTACGAAAAGTACTAAATTTGGTACTGTGTGAAGGGATAGAGCTGAAATTCTGAAATTATATGTCGAGGTATCTGTTGGTATCTGTGGTTGAGATTTGGCGTTGGTTTTGAGATACAGTCTATGTTTGTTCTACTACTAAATTAGTTATTAGGCGAAGGCATAGAGCTGGCAGCTAGATAGTTGTACGATAGCGTAAACGTACCAAATATTACTAAATTTGGTATTGGGTGTTGGAATAGAATCCTGAAATTTTGTATCAAAGTTACTTTTGATGTCAAGGTAGAGAAGGAGGTGGTTTTGGACATACATAGTATAACTGAATAGAATGTACGGTAATACATTTGGGATTGGGTCTTAGGATAGTGCTTGAATTCTGAGATTTTATATGGAGGTGACTGTTCGTATATCGTGTTAAAAGAAGTAGGTGGTTCTGGAAATGTGTACTATTATTGTGCCAATCCTGAAATTCGATATTGAGGTCACTGTTGCTTTCTAGGATTTACATATGGAAATGTTGAAATAGTTTTGGATAAAAAAATTTGATGTGGGTCCATTGTGCAATGGTTTTACTAGTATACTCCTCGGTAAACTTAAAAAAGTGTTTTGAAATATTACTTTCGAAGAGAGAGTATCGGATCTCGTCCACATTTCACACATGGTAGTATTTTTTTCCAAACCTAAAACGAGTTCCACTCCTTCTGGAACCTCCCATACAAAAGGTCAACATTGTGAATGACAATATTTTACCTCACAAATAGCAAAGGGAGTATCCGATTTCGACCAATCTGTGGATTAAGTTAGATAAAAAATGGACGAAATCTGAACTCTCCTTCTCCCCAGAAAAGGGCAACATTTTGCGTAATTACATCTCTCAAAACATGGAAAACTAGGTAAGATTTCCGAAAGAAGGTCATGTGAACGTTTCCTATCTTTAGAAGCTCTCTATATAATGAAGGTCCTCTATCTAGAGAAGACCCTTCCAAAACCTTTTATCTAAGGGTTTAATGGTTATCCTCTTTTAAGGCCTTTTCCTGTTTTTAAAAGTTCCCATCAAGCTCAAGGTCGCTGGCTAAAAAAAAATCACTTTAGATTAACTGTTGCAATCGAAATCAAATTCAATTACTTCAAAATTAAATCATTCAATTGTTGCTGGTTATTTGATTTGCTTTTATTTTTCTGAAACCCGAGAGGGGAATAACCTTTGCGCAATTACCAGCGAGAATAACATTGGTAATATTCCATTGGACGACGGATGACATGTTGTGCCAGACCACGAGAGTTGTGCATTCGTTCATGCCATGACTAAAACTATTAAATTTTTTCCCCATTTTCGTTTTTACCAATATGCAGTTACATATAAATTAATTATTCCATTTTGCTCACGGCGACGTCACGAATAGAAGTCACAACAAAAGTAAAACAAAAACAAAAAAACTGAAAAAATAAACAACTACTGGATACACCTCTGGCGGCAATTACCAAATGATAAGGTCGAAAACAAAAACATTGACAGGTGATTTTCGAATTGAATATTGGCTACCGGTAGATAAAGGGAATCACTTTGGTTCACACGATACATTGTTGTTGTTGTTGTTCTAGGGAGTTCTATAGAGTGTTGTCACTTTTTTCTGAAGGGAAATTACCCAAGAAATGCGATTGGTATTTGCTCGATTTGAAGAGAGGTCTTCGAGGGTCTGAGGTAAACCACAAAAGCATGACTATTCTAAGTGAATTTTTGAGGGTTTAAATAGTTTTAAGGGTTTTATGGGATTTTTCAGGGTATGTCACAGATATTAAACACATTTAAGTTTTTTATATAGGAAAAAAATGCACGGACCCCTTTGGGCACTTCTATATATAGAAGGGCTTTTTGAGTTATTTAATATATAGGACATTTTATTTGAGCTCTTCTATAAAAAAAGAGCTTTTATGACTTTTTCTATTGAAAGAAGAGTTCCTTCCAGT